AAGAGTTTTGTATGAGCCGTCGTGTTGGTTGTGGTGAAAATGAATTCGAATTTCGTTGTTGAGGATGAGACTTTGGCTAGAACGTATATCGCTTCGTTACTTCCTCCACGATTTCTGGTTGCCAACTGAAACATTTTCAGGTTTCTTTTGTTTTATACAATCTTTTTTATTATTCTGGTACAAGAGAAATTGAGCTGCTGAAGGTCCCATAACGACAACTACAGTAACCTAATAATAATTTTATTTTCTGAGTTTTTTTTCTAGTGAAAAACGAGAAAATCAATCAGGCAAAAATATATTCAGGTTACTGTAAATGTCGCTGTGGGACCTTTGGTCACAGCTCCGATTTTTTGTACCAGAATGATATTTTACCGATGTCGATGTTTTCGATTGTGTTCCAGTGATCGTATTCCACCCAATAGTGATGTTGATGCGCGGCATGCTCATAGCGTACCAGATCAGACGAAGATTGGTAACTCGAATTACCCCTGAAACGACCTAGTTTTGAATTGAAGACCTAAATATATTCACCTTTATCTCCATTGTTTCCTTTCGTGTCTTCCACATTCTCCACTTTAGCAATTTGTACTTCTCCATTGATCATACGAAGAAGTCTGAAAGGATTTTCAGATTCTATGTTAGAGTTTTTCAAACTAACTTATGATCCACATCGAAACGAATTTCGCGATCCTGCCAAATATCTTCTCCATTCACTCGCTCCATTTTGAGTGAACGAATGAAGACGGCTCGTGGAGCAGCGAGGCGCGTGAGTGTGTCAGGTTGCCATAGTAACAAGGTGTAAACTCGACAGCATAGAGAAAAAGGGAGAAGGAATTTATGTAAACTCTATCTTGCATCAGTATTATATTTCAAACAATCATCACATTATTACCGGGGAAAGATATGAAAAAGAAGTATCTATCGACGAGTGTGTGAGATGGAATATGTAAAGAGAAATTGGTCAAAATTTGGGAACCGTGGTTTGGGAAATGTGACAATTTGGGAATAAAATTGAATATAAAATAAAGAATAGGAAAATAAACACTAACTTATTGAACATTATTAAAATACACATTTTTATAATTAACTAGCAACTCCTTTTGCATATGTTCCAGATGGAGGTCGGAAGACTTCGGTAGAAAATGCATTTGGAATGGACTGAATGAATAGACTGGTTTTCCTACATTCTTTCGACAATTCTCACGACGAACTCCATCTTTTCGAAGGGAGTTCACAACTTCCGAGATCTACAAAAATATAATTCAATTGGTTCAAAAAGATTCAAAGACAAACCTGAGTTGTGTTGAAGCCACATGTCTCTCGAAGTACTCGACCTAGCTCTAGCGTTGAAGCCATCCCCGTCCGATCTTTTCCACTTTTACAAGAGATGACAGCTTCACCACCCAGCTGCTCACACGCAGTCATCACCCAATCGAAAACATTGAGATTCTTGCGAGATGGTTCCGTGGAAACTTCATTAACCACCTCCATCACAGCTTCTCTGGCACGTTGACTGGCTTCAGCGCGATTGGCAAACATATTCAACTTTTCTGCAGCGTCTTGATTGACAGAACTTTCCAGAGCAATTCCTCCGAATGACTGTCCAAATGTTGCCTCGTGATTCACTCCAATGTTAAAGTATGCAGTGACCACAGTGAATTCGGAAGTCCATTTTATATGGTCAGGTAACGAATCGAAATACTCATGAGGGAGAGGGATAGCTACCTTGAGAGCACTTCTTGTCCCTTGTACCATTGGAATACACGTTCGGCAGACGGCTGACGGAGCACGGACCAGACGGAAACGAACTCGTTGTTCTAGAGACTTCCAAGCTTCTATTGCATCTTCAATCATCCCTCTTTCATCTCCATATGCGCTCAGGAATGAGAATATTACTAGAAGAAAATCTGCAATAAAAAGAATTTATATTAGTATCTATTTACGAATAATAACCAACCATCTGTGAATGGAATTTCCTTTTTCTGGATTCGATTCAAAATTGCTGTCGATGCGATCGTAATGGCTTGAGATAGAACAAAGTCTGTCCGAATCATAATATGGAAATACGCATGAGCAATTGATGGTTTCTGCAGTGCCTTCACCAGAGAAAACAACTGAGATTCCAGAATCGAGTCGGCCAGAGCTAACAGAATGTCTAGACACGTGGAGACGGCCTGTCGAGTATTTTTCTCGCAAGCTTCTCTTTCATGTGGTTCCTCATTCAAAGTGTCAATCACCGCGATTTTCGTGTTCAGACTAACAATCATTGCATCAATACGGTCAATTTGATTTTGAATATTGTCGTAGACTCTGGTTTCTGGAATTTTTCCTCCGGCATCTAATCGCTTCTTCTCTTCTTCTAGTAGAATATCAGAACAATGCTCTACATCCGGCAAACTGGATAGAACATCCTTGAGTCCTTCATACACTTGTTTTATGCCAGCATGAACTTGCAAGCATATTTTATCGGGACTTCCAAACTTTGCGATTTTCCACTCCTTCTCAATTTTATGACTTAATTCTCCTATCGTCTTTTTCAAATCTAGAAGCGTTTGGCGTTTGTTCCAGAATGTATAATCAAAGTTGTAAGGCTCAACGTCGAGCTGGGTGTACAGTTTGGCAAGACCTCCGTTCTGTAAATGACACAATTAGAAAAATTACGCATAATTGTTCAGTTACGTTATATCGATAAGGAATTGCAGAAGCAGTTCCAGCTGTAATAAAATCTCGCTTGTCATTCGAATTGATGTCATAGGAATGAATATGCAGATTTGTAGGTACCAGTCCAAAAGCTACTCGATGTTTTTCAGTAGACTTCCGGAAGTGTGGTCCCTAAACTGAGAAAGTAGAACAATTATATTCGAGAATTAAAACCTACAGAATAGTTGTCAACGAATTCGAAGCATTGCTCATAGGTCTCTGACATTTCTCGCAGTTGTCGTATCACTTCATGCAGCCAGCTAACTGATGATTGGGGCCACACCCTTAGCCGACTTTCCAGTAATCCAGAGAATCTGAAAATTCAATTTATCATTCATATCATTTCCGGTCACACAAACTCACTCTGAAATTTTCTTCCTATTCAACTTGATTATCTCTTTCGGTAAGATAAGCGACAACTTTGTCTCGCTCATACACTCTTCAACTGTAACCCTTCGAGCTGGCAAATTGTTTTGTTGAGTTATAGCAAAATTGTGAGCGATTCTAAGCGGTGCGGTTTGATAGAAACTTTGGAAAGACGACGTTTTTGGATCGATGACTCCATCCGACTCACTGGACGCAGATGGTGACATTGTGTAAAATTTATAAGCTACTTCATCAAGTTCCGCTCGAGCCATTTGATGAGAGCACGTGGCGAGCTGGAAGCAAACCGAATATGTTTCTGACAAAAAGCACAAGCGTTCTGACTCACTTTTATCATCCACTGCTCTCTTGTCTCTTCGCTTTCGACTCCAAATTCCAGATTTTCTGTTTCGTCGTTGAATGTCAAAACGAAGGAATATTTTGATGAGGCTTCTGGCTGAAATATTTATATATATAAATACTGAGAGTTCTCTTTTTTAAAGAACTTATGTACCTTGTCCTCTAACTTCTTGATTACTGATCTCTCAAGTATGAAAATAAGTGGTTCACAAGCGGCGACCTCTTCTGTCCCGCTAGACTCGGAGACACAGAGAACGTTGCCATGGAGAAGAACCTTAATTGAGAATTTTGATTTATAAGAAGTGAAAGGTGAGATTTATACCTTCGCGGAGTATGTTTTCGATTTATAACATACGGTAGCTGAGCCAGATAAATCATATTCGATGTTCTGCTTTGTGAACGCTTTGAATATTTCATTTGCGTTGTCTTCATCCATTGAATCTGAAATAAGAATCTATATATTCAATCAACACTCATAAAAGTCATATTCTATTGTTCTAAAGAGTCATCTTGCCACGAAATGTAAAAAAAGTGAGGAAGTTTTTATGTTGAAACCTCCCGTAAATCTACATGGAAGAAGAAAATGCGCGGCCATACGGCCACAAGCTTTTCCGAGAGGAGTACACAAGCGTCATTATAGAACCCGGTCAATAAGTTTAGTAATGCTCCTTTTCAGAAAAGTTTTGTTGCTACTGTAATTAACATTTTGACTTTACTGTTCAACTGACAGCGAAAAAACAGGTCAGGACGCTGGGAAACATTTCTAATCTAGCAAAATGACTCATTCTTAATGGCATTGACTCATTTGTTAATTAATCAAACTCTAATATAGTTTTCAGCTGTGTTCCGGCCAAACTAACACAATGTGTTGAATTCTGCGAGTGTGAATATGTTCTCAACCACAATGGGATTTCCGTCGACACCACTTGAAGCCAAACAAGCTTTGGGAATCTCATCGGCTATAAGTGCAGGTAAAAAGGCATTTTTTGACCGAATTCAATTCGGAAAAAAGATTGTGAACCATGTATGGATTACTGTAGCTGGGCAGCGCGAGTTTCGTTTTTCAAATTTTTTACCATTTCTTAACCCACTTCACATTGCTAAAAGCATGTCTAAACTAACCCGCCACTTAAGTTTACGCAATAATTCATACAAACAAGGTTGATATAATCGCCTAAAATCTGAATTTCACTAAAAATGACATATATTCAGCTTCATCAGGCCTTCGAGCGGGCAGTCCTATGCTCTCGGTCAGCTATGAACCTCAATTCTCGTTCGCCAGGTGTATCGAACAGTGGAGAGGAAAAGAAATTGCAAGATGGATCGAAGGTATTTGAGTTTTCATTTTCAGATAATTCAAAATTGATATATATAAATATATACCGTAAAACCTCTAATAGAACGACACCCGGTTCGTCCACTTTGAGCCTATATATATCACTTCTTTTGAAAGATATTAAAAAGTGGTTAACTAGTAAAATGTTTATCAGGATATCAGGAACATTTTACTAGTCAGCCACTTTTTGATATCTTTTACAGAAAATGAGATATATAGGCTCAAAGTGGACGATCCGGGTGTCGTTCTATTAGAGGTTTTACGGTAAATAAATAAATAAATAAATATATATATATATATATATATATACATAATATTTTCAGGTCTCGGAGATCAAATGAATCCCTATCTAGGCTTGATTCGAGATGAACTAAAATGCGGAAAACAGCTAGAAGCACTGGATGATGATTCTCTTAAAAAGATGGGTATTTCGGCTCTTGGTGCTCGAAAAACCATACTTCAATCAGTTTCTCTTCTTCTCTATTTTGTAAGTCTATTCGGAAACGGTTTTGAGAGAAAAAATACATAATTTTTAGTGTTATGAGTCAGAGAAAGAAAATTTGCAACGACTGGCACAGCAAGTCAAAACATCGTGTTACTATCTCGAACGTACAATGAAATCAGCAATGAGAATGCGAGAAAAAGCTATCCGTCGTGCTGAAATCGTCAATATTCTGAATGGAGTTTCAAATGCGGTTCTACAACTCTCCGAACGCACGAAACGTCTCGTTTTCTGGCTTGATCGTACACCGTTCGACGAGGAAGAGGATTTCCGAGCTATTCGGAATAGTATTTCAAACTTTATGTGGAATCTATTGCGGAATGTAAATGTTCAACCGAAAGCACTATTTGAAACTGGAAGTCAGATTGTTAGAGTGAGTCTTTTTTTTTTTAATTTCTCAAAATCATAAAAAAAAATCAACGAAGTCCGTTATAGATGAGCAAAGAACTTGCATATGATGCCAACAAAATAGTCGACTGTGAGGATCCGCTGGTTTTGTATGCCTCTTTTGTGGAGACGGCTCAACTCCGAAGAAGATCCGGCAACATCAATTGGGGTCTAAATATCCAATCATCATTCCGTGGCGTCCATGTTGTTAGTGAAATCAAAGAAGGATCCCCAGCAGATGCTTGTACGAAAATTGACGCTGGAGACGAGATTCTGATGATTAATGGAAGAACTGTTGTCGGATGGGATTTAACAAGTGTCGTCCAACGAATAGGAGCATCTGATGTAACTGAATTATCACTTGTAATAAAACGAAGACCTCGAGTACAACAACTACCGAAGCAATCGAAACTTGCTGTCCGTGCTCTTGCTCCATCCAGTCAGGCAGCAAAGACATATTCCACAGATGATTACGATCCATTCGGACAATCTGAACCTTTGAAAAGGCATCGGAGTTGTCATGGAATCTCGGAAATTATCAAGGAGAATGAAAAGAAGAAGTAAGCATATTATATTCTCTATTTCACATTTAAAAATTATCTGTTCCAGTAGAACCAGCCGTCGCTTGATAAGAAGATCCTCCATAGCGTCTGCGTGCCCACGAAAAGAACGAAAAAATATGGATGAAGCTTTGATAGACGAAGATGTCGACGATTGGGATGTTCACGAATTCGTTAGAGACATCGACGGTGAAGAAGAGGCTCTGATGCCACGTATCGCTAAAAGAACTCGCACGATGCGACACCAACCGGATGGTTATGTTCGAAGTTTTATTGATAACAAACTAGTTACTGACATCGAAGATGACGTTGTTAACGATCAGCTAACATTTAATGTAAAATGTAAGAGATTTTCGAAGAATTAAAGCAATCAAAATAAAATTCCAGGTCCCACTGAATTTGCACAAATCCAAGAAGTGAACAAGGACGAGCTAAAAGTATTAAATCTCCCTGAAGCGAAACTTTCTGATGATGACTGGAAAGCTCCGTACCAAGAATTCGCTGCACCCAGTTTTCGTGCTGTCGGTGATTCGAATGTTTCTGCATTCAGCCTCGACTCGCCAAGGTTTCTACCAGTTGCAGGGTAAAATATATGCTCAGATTTCAAGTATTCAAACATTTTTCCAGTCGAATGACATCATCTGTCGACGAAGCCACGTTTGCTAGTGTACTACCCAGCCCTTCAACATCTTCCATGAATAGTGTGAACAGCCCGGCTCCATTCGGAAAGTTCCAAATGAGTACGAGTCAATCTGATTGGTCACCGAACCCTGATGACCTTCCAAGTTCTCCCATCACAGCTGCCTACGCGGGGATGAAAGTTACATTCGAAGGATGGGTACGAAGAAGGAAAACTCCAGCGGAACTCAGTGCAAATGAATTTACAAACAAGTGGCCGAAAATTTGGTTGTGTTTACGGGGTCACTACCTACTTCTCTGTTCGAATCAATATGTGAAAAGACCTGAAATGGTAATCAATTTAATAAAGGCTACAATCTCGGATTCTACTGACTTGAAAACGTCTAAAAAGAAGTGAGTTATTCAAAAGTTTGGAAACATCTCTCATTTAATGATTTAGCATCTTCCGCGTCATTAGCAAACCACTGGATTATCATTTCTCGGTTACGTGTACACTAGACTGGAGAAAGTGAGTCACTTGAATTATCAAACATCATTGATTTTTTTTCTGCTTCAGCTGGATCCAACACATGAAAACAGCCAAAGAGATATATAGCAAAATGGCTAACCAACCGAGAACAATTTCACAATGTAAGAGAATTTTCCGAAACTTTGAAAGTCAAGACAATTTGTTGTTTTTTCAGCGGTCTCTAGTTACAACAATGATCTTTCCGACCAGAATTTCTTCCTTGGTCAGCAACAACTGAGTACAAGCCATCATGGAGAGCTCATCACCAACCAGCAACGTTTTTCCAATGGAATGACAACGTCGAAGTCCGGAACGTCTGGATTCAAATTCAAATAGAACCAGAATACTATCAAAAACCCATCAATGTGAATATTCGTGTTAAATCTGTAAATTCCTTCACAAATTAGTGTTTTTTTTTCTCCTTTCTGTGTCCAAATGCTTTATTATCTTCCTGTCACAACACACCTTCCCCACCTCAGCTTTTCTTTCCCGTTGCAATTTGCCCATATGCGGCTTTACCACAACCACACATTCAATGATCTTCCTCATTCATTTTTTCTTCGTCAGTTTCACAACAAAAATGTTCTAGTCGCACTTTAATAATTTGCAAAAACCCAGACACCCTCATATTCTTTGTAATATTCGGCAGTCACTGATATAGATTTTTTTTTCGAAAAAGTGAATTTTTGGGTAACATGAAAGATAATAAAACCTTTTCGCACTTACAAAGAATGAGTTTTCTCGTTGAATCGGAACATTCCTGATAAATATCTGAATGGAGAGGGACGCTATTCAAATGTAAATGGTTTGGACGAAAGAACTTGTTGTATAAAATCTGTCAAAACGGTTTCAAAAGTATTATTTTCTTTCAAAAAATTCGGAGCTGAAGGTCCCAAAACAACAGCTACAGTAACTTAATATATTTGTTATTTTCAGTATTTATTTTCTTGATTTCTGTGCATTTTTAATCAATTTTTCACTATAAAATATTCATTTTCCGATTTGTTCGGGGGAAAAAATCACAAAAAACTCGCCGAAAACACATGAAAAGCGAGAAAATAAATACGGAAAATAAAATATTTTTAGGTTACTGTAGTTGTCGTGGTGGGACCTTCCGCCACCGCAACCGGCTTTTCCACAGGTCTGAAATTTTTTACCAGAAAATTACTTTTTTTTACTTTCCAGACTATATGCATTTACCCTTCCTGTTACTGGTACTAGGATCTTCTGTAGCTTTGAGATCTAAAGTTGACCAACATCATAAAGTATCCCATGTAGATTCCAATAAATATTCGATCGCCGCCGAGAAGAAATTTCTTCTCTATGATGTGAACTTCGGAGAAGGATTCAATTTGAGAAGAGATGTCTACATGCGGGTTGCAAATACAGTAAGATTGCTTCGGGAATCTGGAGAAAATTGGATTCTGGTACTGCCTCCGTGGGGACGTCTTCATCATTGGCAACGAATGCAAGTCGCACTTTCATGGAGACTTTTCTTTGATTTAGAAAGTTTGAATCGGTTTATTCCAGTGATGGAATTTGAAGATTTTCTAGATGGTAAGAATTTTTAGATTTAATTTCAAACCTTTGAAAAAATTATTTTTTTTGAGAGTCAGAAAATCGACCAATCGATCAAGTGATCTACTTGCAACATTATGAAGAAGGATGGGGTACAGAGTATGTAAGGAAATTTGATGAACGAAGATGTCTTCCACCAGCAGACTCCCATTACAGAAAAGAAAACGATTCCAAATGGTAAATTCTAATTTTTGAAGTGTTCTCTATTCTAAAAATGTTCAGGAGAGGATGGTTCTATTCTTACGAAGATGTGCAGGCTAGCAATTTTAAGTGCGTTTCAATTCAAGGAGATTCTGGAACTTTGAAAGATCTTTTGACGCATTCCAACTTCTCCAGTATGACTTCTGTAATGGTGGACAGAGCAGAGACAATTCTTCACGAAAATTTTGGAGATGTGAATTATTGGAAAGCGAGAAGAAGTATGCGGTATAGCAAAGATTTGGTGGAGGCTGCCAACGTCTTCAGGGATAAATATTTGGATTCTGATGACGAGAACGATGACACAGAGATGGTTGCAGATTGGAGAAAAGAGAGAGCAAAAAGAACTGCAAAGGGAGGACCATATTTGGGAATTCATTGGAGAAGGAGAGACTTTTTATATGCTAGACACGATCAGTTACCATCGATAAAGGGTACTGCTGAGATTTTGGAGAAATTATGTGAGAAGTTGAAATTGAATAGGATCTACTTGGCAACGGATGCTCCGGAAGAGGAGGTCAATGAGCTGAAATCGTATTTTGGAAAGGAATTGCAAGTTTTTCGTTTTACGGATACACAGAAGTATAATGATGGACAAATTGCAATCATTGATCAGGTATGTTTTTTACATACTTGCGGACGGGCCCAAAGCGGGCCGTGGCGGGCCCTGTCATAGTTTCTTTTAGGATCAATATTTTTTGACTAACTAAATTAGATATGATAGAACTCGACGAGCACTACAA